GTTGCCCTTTATTCAATCTAACATAACACATTTTGGAAGTGATCTTTATTGAGTAAACTTTAGTAATAACAAACATAAAAATCATATTAGCACTATCTATACTTTTTTCTATTTGTATGTTATAGCAAATGTATATGTATGTTTGTTATGAAGCATCTGATTTGTATAAATCGCAGTGATTACTATAAATTGCGGTGATTTGTATAAATTGGACGTTTGTGTCTATGAAAATTGCATTTGAATTTGTATATGCTCTTTGTGTTACCTAGAGTTGTGAGAGAGATTAAGAGAGAGAGAGAGAGAGGAGAGAGGGCAGAAAGTGGAGAGAGGTGAATTGTGTATGTATATCGGTTAGGTAATTCTATATATATAATTACTATGTATCTATATCAGTGATTGTGTTTGTATATGAATAAAATTTAAATTTGTATACAATTGAATCGAGTTAAAAAAATTATTTGCATATCAAATCTCTCTCGCGCTTTATACAAACACAAATTGTACATTATATTTGTATAAAGCGCGAGAGAGAGACAAAAGAGAACTAGGTAGGGAAATATTTGTATTAGTTTAATTATAAGTATAAAGGATGGAGAGAGATGTGTTTGTATTTGTATTGGTATGTATAACTTTATAGAAAGACAAACACAATTTATACATTTATGTTGAATAAAAGTGAGAGAGGCGAGGGAGAGAATTGAGAGTGACGAGCGAGATTCAAGGGAAAGAGGCGAAAATGATAATGTGTTTGCTACGAATTAGAATTAAGTTGTAGCTATGACATTTATTTTGAATTAATAGTTTATTATAATGTACAATTTTCTCATCTAGTTTTGCCTTTGTATTCATCTTTTGTCAGGGTATAACATTTTTTACCTTGTTGTTCATTATGTTAATTATTTTCATCACCTATTATTAGTCACTTATGGTTGGGTTTGTTCTCTTCACCTATTTATTATATATATATATATATATATATGACAATTTCATATCACAATTCTACAAATACTAATATTTTAAAATATTAATCAATTTCATATAACTTGATTCTCGAAATATCAAATATGACAAGTATTTTAGGCCGGAGAAATTACTACTACATTTGAACTCAAAAAAATCAGGTCACAAATGTCATTTTCAAGTATATTTTTCATTTTTCTCCTAATCAATTCATGTGATTATTTGTCCTCTTTCTCAACATAAAATTTTACGGAATCATTATGATATGTATGAACAACTATTACTACTCCCTCTATAGCTTGAATTTTATGTCTTGTTAATTATTTTACTTATTCTTTTGCTTGGTTAAATTAGAAAAAATGTTTGTTGATTCAAAATTTAATTTTTCGCTCGGTTAAATTAGAAAAAAATGTTGGTTGATTCAAAATTCGATTTTTTGCTTGGTTAATTTGAATATATAAATAGTGGTTGATTCAAAATTCGAAAGTAAAAGTTGTGTGACAACAATATTGTGAATCTTATCTTAAAAAAATTAAAAAATTAACTCAAATATTATATAAAATATACCTTCTTCGCTTTATACCATATTACGTTGTAAACTTTTACATTTAGTTCAAAATACATATTTTTTAACAACTAAGGTGGTGTTAACTATTTTCTCCATTTTTTTCTTATTTAAATAAGTGAGTACTTATCGAATCAAGAAATCATATTAAATAGATATTTACGGTTAATTAAAGAATAAAACTTAATACTTCGAAATATCACTTAGTAATCCTTGTTTTATTAATTTAATACTTAAGGCATCTGATGTTGTTATGCTCCAACTATAATGAAGAGAAAAAAAATACAATTTAACAATGAATCAATGATTAAAAATACGTTTAAATTATCTAACTTGATTGAGTTTTATATTTAAATTGTTGAGATGAGTTTTCACTTGAATTGTCACCTAATGGTTGGCTAAACACACCTAAATATTTGTATAAAAATACCTCTATGCACATTTGTACATAAAATATTCGTCCACCTAGTATATATAACAACTCTATTCGCTACACATTAATTTTTTTATATATATATACTTTAAATTATCTTTTTCATAATTCTAAATTCTTTCTTTTCAAGTCGAAAATACACCATAGAGACCAAATTACGACTAAAAAGATGGAGAAGAAGGTGGTGCATGTCACGACTGAAATACATTAGTTTATACAATAATTGTTTTAATTGTTAACCTTAATTTTAACACAATATTTTTTCTTTTAAGATTTACTACAGAAAAAAATTATTTTTCACATGATAGAATTTTTTAACAAGAGAGAGTATGCTCACATCATCAAAAATTACTCTACCTGTATTTCACTAATTATTGAATAAATAACAAATTTAGAAAAAACTAGAATAACTAATTTATTCTTAATCATAACTCTTTAAAAGTTCAAATTTTATGTCTAAATAAAACTTTCACTTTATATTAATTCAATTTCATTCTCCCTCTGTTCACTATTAATTTTATCATATATTTTTTTTCATTTTTAGAGTCAATCTATAAAGAAAAGGGCAACTTTCACATATAGCAAACAAAAAATTCATATTTGTATAATATAGCAAACTTTGCATAATTGCGCTCCATAGCAAACATAAAAACTGTATAATTCGCTATACATATACAAGTGTATAATTCGCTGGCCTAAATTGTATAATTCGCTGGCCTATTTCGCTGCAATTGTATAATTTGCTTTGCATATAGTTGAATAAAATTAAAATGTATGTATATTGCATAATTATAAGTTTATAGCAAAAAGATATATGTTTTTCTCGCTTTATACAAAAACAGTAACACAA